GAATTTTTTGAAGTGCTGTCGTCGTACTTTGGCAAGGCTGAAGGGTCCGGGTGTAAATCGAGGCATGTTTAGTCAGAATGATGGGGATTGTAGGCCTGCTCCTCTGCCTGAACGTGCTCCTGCGTTCGCCCTCATACTACTTTCTTCTTTCTGAAAGGAGCCACTCTGGTGAGGATGGAGTGGCAAAACACGCCCTTGGAGAGCCTGCTGGGGGGGCAGAAAGAAGAGGAAGGGGAGGACTTGAAGCCGTGGCTGGTGGATCTCGACTCCCGCACCTGGAACAGACAGCGGGCCAATTCCAGGGCTCCCGTGCTGCATGTCGTGGGATGAGATGGGGGGCTTGAAGCAGGCGACGGAACGGGTGCAGCCCCCTAGTACTTCGCCCACTGAGGGAAAAGGGGGGCTGTGGCAGACGGGTTGGGGGCGAAACGGAGCGGCTGTGTGTGTGTGTTCCTGGGAGAGATTCGGGTAGAGCGGGCCCTGCCCTGATTGCCATAAACGAGGGAACCAACTCACCCTCTGGCAGCCTTGGGCATTTCACTTTTTGCATAGCAGACTCATCCCATAATCACAGAACAGTCGAGCTGGAAGGGGCCAGAAGGCCATCGGGGCCAAACAGCCAAGCCTGTTTGAAGTTTGGTGTTAGAACGGAGTCTGGGCCAGCCTGCGCCCCCACCCTGCGCCCCCTGCCCTTGCCCATCGCAGCTCATGTGAGCGGGGGACCCCCCCCCCCCGAGGCCGGGAGGGCGTGAGGGACCCTGCGAGAGAGAGTGGGGTTCTGGCTCCCGCAAAGCCACCCCTGAAGGGCCTGACATGGATCCAGGGGAGGTGGGTAAGCATAGCCTCGCCGAATATGTCAAACAAGTGTCAACTACACTGTCAACTACATAATAAAGAAAATGTATAAAATGTTTTATAGATGGTATTGGTCAGCAAATAGATTAGCTAAAATGTTTCTGAATATGCCAAACAAGTGTTGGGAATGCAAGCAAAAACCTGGTATTTTTTACCACATGTGGTGGACTTCTGACGAAGCAAAATAATACCGAGTCAAAATCCATAGATGGCTTGGGGAAATGTTGCAAAGACCTGTAATGTTTAAACCAGAAATATTTTTGTTAGGCATTCTCCCAGACGATTTTCGTAAACAATGTATATATTTGACATTGCATGTAATTACAGCAGCGAGGATTGTATTTGCACAATGTTGGAGGGATGAAGAGTTACTGACACAGACTTGATCTTAAACAAGCTATTGGGCTGCGCAGAAATGGACAGACGGACATTATCCCTTAAGGAAAAAGAAGATACCGCTTACTGCCAAACTTGGGACTTTTTCTACCATTGGCTAGAGAATGGGAATTTTAATTAGGGCTGAAATACATAGCAATTGTAGAGAGAATAAGACTTTTAACCCAGTAAGTCTGAAGTCTTTGGAATAACTATTTGTTTAGTCAGTTGAAAACAATGGCTGCCAAAGTGCAATCCAGACACACAGGAGGCAGTAAAATGCCCCACAGCCCCTCCTGTTCCCCGTCCAGCTCAGATGTGGGGGCTTGGAGCTGTGGAGCTTTCTTTCCCGACTTGCGTGCGATTGTGGCAAAAGACTTGCTCTTGCATCTGTGCTCAGCACAATGGAAACTTCTAGGTTTTCCTTTCTACAAATGCAAAAGGACCTGCTGGGTGTCTGGACAGAGGGATCCCGAGACCGGGAACTGGTGCAGGCCTTCTCACGAGGTCCTTTCCACCACCATGTGAATTATTTCGATGGTGTGGTGCACAGGTGACAATCCTCTCCCAGCATGATGCTTTCCCACTGCCCTCTGTGCTGAAAAAAACTGTTACACCAAAAAAAACCCTTCAAAAATATTTCCCCTCAAGTTAAATAACCAAGACTACCATCAGAGTGAGGCGATTCCTTCGTTTATTGCAATAGACGGGGAGAGCCCGCTCTGTCAGAATCTCTCCGAAGCACAAACACACATCATCTCCTTTGTACCCTAACTCGGCCGCCAGAACCATCCCCAATTCCCTCGGTGGATGAGGTACTAAGGGGGTGCAGTCTTTCCGTCTGCCTACTTCATATCTCCCGTCTCATCCCACTACATACATCTACATACATCACATGTGCATTATAATTAGCCCATATTCCTTCAGACAGGCTTCGTTGTTTGCCTCAGTGTTTCTCAGTCACTGAGTTACTTCCTTCAAAACAATCCTCTGAGCATGTGCAAGGAGAAATGCCTCAGGTTCCAGGACGTGGTGTTTGGTCCTGTGCTCAGATGCAGACTGGTCAACCATGCAGGTCCTCCATTCGGCCATGAAAGTTGGGCCTTGGCTGCTCCAAGCTTCCTTCCTTTCAGGCAGGATTTCCCCAGTGCTCCTCGTCCTGGCTTCCCGCAGGTGACATGTGGCAGGACGAGGAGAAAGGGGAACAGCTGGGGGGCAGATGCCACCTGCCGGAAGAAACAGCCAGAACAGGACTGGACGAGAGAAGCAGGAGGTAAGACCAACCGCGGCATGGAAGCGAGCAGCCAACCCCAGGACACCTCCGTATGTGGCCAAGTTCACGAAGGAGCCACATGCTCTGAGGGGGAGGCGGGGGGCCTGTGTGTTCCCACCAGGTTCCCTTTCCCAGAGCAAGTGAGCTGTCGCTCGCATGGTCTAAGGGGGCAGTTCCGCAGGGCAGGACCAGCAAGGGCCACCCTCCCAAAGCAGCATCCTCTGGCTGGAGAGTCCACCGCAGCCAGGAGGTCCGGACTGGGAGAAGGACAAGGGGAGGGGCACCAGTGCCAAGCCGGGCAGTGCCAGCCCTGCCCCGCCAGCCTGCCCGCTCCTCTTTGGCCTGACAAAGGACCGGATCAGGGGGTCCTGGCTCGGGATTCATCTGACAGAAGACTCCCAACTTCCCCAGGAACCCTGGGGAGGACTGGCAGGAAGTGGGAGAAGCAGAACCGGTATTAGTATTAATTGCTCCACCCCCCCCCTCCACCTGCTGCTGAGATCTAAATTTTCAGAATTTCCTTTTATCTGTTGGACTCCTCCCACCCACAGGTTCCCTGGCTTGACCCCCAGTTGAGTGTTTTGGGAGAGGATGAAGAGTGCCTGCCTCTCCATTTTATCCCCCGTGTGTCTGATCTTAGGAACCCCAATACGGTTCCCCCTCACTCGCCTCTCTTCTCAATTCAACAGTCCCAACTTTGAAGCCTCCACTTGAAGTGGAGAAGCTCCAGCTCCTTCACAATTTCGCTACTCTTCCCTGTAATTTCTCCAACGCCAAAATGTCAGTCTTTAGCTGTGTCAACCAGAACAGGAGACATTTCTTCTAGTGCAGTTTCACCAGAGATTTCTACAAAGGGAATAAGATCCTGAAATTCTATTCTGGATTCCACTCCTAATTATGACCAGAATGGAAATGGCCTTTTTCACACTAAAGGAGTAAAGGGCTGGAATTTTCATAAGTTTCCATCCTCAAGATACCTCCCCAGTTTGTGTTCCTTGATGGCTCCGAATATGAATTTTCAGATGGCTCCGTAAACCTTGATGCTGGCTGAAGCTCTTTCCACATTCGATACATGTGTATGGCTTCTCCCCAGTGTGGATTCTTTGATGTCTTTTAAGACTTCCACCATCACTGAAGCTCTTTCCACATTCTATGCATGGGTATGGCTTCTCCCCTGTGTGGATTCTTCCATGTCTTTTAAGACTTCCACCATTACTGAAGCTCTTTCCACATTCCATACATCCGTATGGCTTCTCCCCAGTGTGGGTTCTTTGATGCCGAGTAAGATGTCCACCATCCTTGAAGCACATTCCACATTCCTTACACTTGTATGGCTTTTCCCCAGTGTGGGTTCTTTGATGGCCTCTAAGACCTCCTGTGTCACTGAAGCTCTTCCCACATTCCATGCATGTGTAAGGCTTCTCCCCAGTGTGTGTTCTTCGATGGATGGTAAGATGTCCATGGACCCTGAAGCTCTTCCCACATTCGATGCATGTGTATGGCTTCTCCCCAGTGTGAGTTCGTTGATGCTGAGTAAGAGCACAATTCTGACTGAAGCTCTTTCCACATTCCATGCATGTGTATGGCTTCTGCCCAGTGTGTGTTCTTTGATGCTGAGTAAGATTAAAATTCTGACTGAAGTTCTTTCCACATTCCATGCATGTGTATGGCTTCTCCCCAGTGTGGGTTCTTTGATGGACTCTAAGACCTCCTCTGTCACTGAAGCTCTTCCCACATTCCATGCATATGTAAGGCTTCTCTCCAGTATGTGTTCTTCGATGGTATGTAAGAGTTCCTTTGTAACTGAAGCTCTTTCCACATTCCATACATGCATACGGCTTCTCCCCACTGTGTGTTCTTCGGTGGATAGTAAGATATCCATGGACCCTGAAGCTCTTCCCACATTCCATGCATGTGTATGGCTTCTCCCCAGTGTGAGTTCTTTGATGCTGAGTAAGATGTCCACTATTCTTGAAGCACATTCCACATTCCATACACTTGAATGGCTTTTCCCCAGTGTGGGTTCTTTGATGGCCTCTAAGACCTCCTCTGTCACTGAAGCTCTTCCCACATTCCATGCATGTGTATGGCTTCTCCCCAGTGTGAGTTCTTTGATGCTGAGTAAGATTACAATTCTGACTGAAGCCCTTTCCACATTCCATGCATGCGTATGGCTTCTCCCCAGTATGGGTTCTTTGATGCCGAATAAGACTTCCATTCACAGTGAAACTCTCTTCACATTCCATGCATTTGTATGGCTTCTCCCCAGTGTGTGTTCTTCGATGCCTTGTCAGATGTCCCCTCTTTCTGTATTCCATGCCTTTATTTGGGATGTCCCCTTCATGCATTTTTTAATGTCCAGAAGGATTCTCTGGATCACTGAAGCTCTTACCATATCCTATGATTTATATCGCTCCTGTCTAGCCTGGACTCTTCCATCTTTTCAAAGTCTTTGGCGGATGAGAGAGAGAACACCTTGTGTCGCATCGGAGCAACTCAGCCTTGTCGCAACTAAAAACAACAGCGATGTTGGAGCGCTGGGAGGAGAACAGCAGAAAGAGAAGTTTAGGCCTCCTCTAGAACTGGGCATGCTCAGCTTCAGGAAGATAAGTCTGAGTGGGGATATGAGGGCGCTCTGCAAGTGCTTGAAAGGAGGCACTCAGAGGAGGGCAGGGGCTCTTCCCGCTGATCCCCGAGCATTAAACATGGGAGTGAAGGCCTCAAGTAACACGAAGCCCACTTCCAGACAGATATCAAGAACAATTTCCCGACTGTAGGAGCAGTACGGCAAAAGACCAGTTACCTGGGAGTCTGTGGGCTCTGCCACACTGGAGGCATTCAAGGTGCAACTGGACAGGCATCTGAGAGGGGCGGTTTGACTTAGGGCCTGCACAGAGCAAGGGGGCTGGACCTGATGGCCCTCCGGTGCATTCCAGCCCTTCTCCCCTTTCATACTCCCTTGCAGGGCTGCCCTGGAATCACAGAGGAGTGGAGTCGCAGGGGTCCTGGGAGGCTCCAGGCAGGACTCCAGCCTGACAGGTGGCTGTCCAGATGCCTCAAGAACACCTCCAGGGGCAGGACGGCGGCTCGGGGAGGGCGGCTGAAGGGAGAGAGGGAGGGCAGGAGCCAGGCAGGCACAAGAAGAGCAGGGAAAACACGGCCTTCTGCAGCCACTTGTGCAAAATAGGGATGATCCAGGCATGGGGATTTGCTTTCTCCAGCTCCAGGGGAGCAGGCCAAGGCATTTAGTTAGCCCAGGCTTTGCCTTGAACCTCGTCCTTGGAAGGCGAATTAGAGCTCAGATGCGGGCCATGCTCCCCCTCGCCCTCTCCCCACTCCTGCGCGGCACAACGGGAACAGAGCAGCCCCGTGGCTTCTCCATCGGGGGGGGGGGGCGCGGGGCGGGGGCTCTTTCCTGGGAAGGAAGGCCTCCGCCATCACGACAGCTCCTCCCTCCTCCATGCACGGATGTGGTTCCTCTCTGGGGTGCCTCCTCTGAGGTGTCCTAAGAGCTCCATGTGCGTGGGAAGAGTCTATGCCTGGCTTTTCCCGTGGGGATTCTTCCACGGAGCTGAAGGTGCTGGTTCTAGCTGACGCCCGTCCACATTCAATGAATTTCCAGGGCATCTGGGGCTCTCCAATTTGGAGTCAGCCTTCCACGTGCAGTGAACCTCCTCGCCCCCCTCCTCTTCGTCCTCCTGCCCCCCGCGAGGCTCGCCTCGCTGCAACGGGGCTGAACTGCTCCCCGGGAACGGCTCCCAAGAGGGGATCCCGCCAGGGGAATCTCGCCGCGGTTTGCACCTCGAGAGCTGGGATCGGATCCTGCAGGCGGCCCCTCCATTCCAGTGCCGGGGGGGGCTGACGACCCCCCACTCTTCCCTCCCGCAGGCCCCATGCTCGGCC